AAAGAGTAGTCAATGTCTAACGATGAGGCTACTGCATTTTGTTTTTGCATTCCTGTCAGTGCACTCATGGTGAAACATGTCAGCACATTACCAAAATGCATACCATCCATCTTTTTATGGCCTCTCTCTCTCTCTCCCTCTACAGGTCTGCCATAAGAGCCGGATCACTAATGGTTTCATTGATTGTTCAGGTGGTCTTATCATTCATCACCAAAGGGTCAATGTCCTACCTCCATCTAATGACACTGTTTAAACGTAAATGTCTCATCTTTGAATGGAATGTCCCCTGCAGATGGGCTGCAACAAACCGATAGGTATCATTACTGTGCTCATGATAAAGAAAATGTGGCTTGTATTAAGATAGATTAGTTCATGTTACTCATGTTATTTTGTTTTTTATATATATCTGTTGTAATTTATTGTCGTTTATTGTGATTGTAGTAATGTGTTTTTATTACATGTACAGCACTTTGGCTCGACCAAAAATCGCTTTTAAATGTGCTATATAAATAAAACCTGATTTGATTTGATTTGATTTGATAAACAATATTTTCAATGTTTAAGATTCAATTCCCAAATGCATTCTTATAATACTACTATATACGTTTCATTATAAAAAAATATTATTTAAGTCATGTTTTTTTTAATTTCATTTAAATGTAACTCTATTTTATCAGAATTCTTTTTTAACTCATCATTATTATTTTCCCTGTATTGTTTTGTATGTATCTCCTTGATTTAGTGATTTCTTTTCTCCTGATTGGTTAGTTTTTCAGATGTTTCTGTTATAGTTATTTTTTCTCTCTTACTTAAGGGGGATGTCTGTTGTATAAACCTGTGGCTCCCTAACCTCCCCTGACACATTCCAAATGTCCCCATCATCTGGATTTGATGCAGTCTTATGTGCGGGAAAATAAATAAACTGAATTATACCCACTGCCGTATAGATTTCAAATTCTTGTCTCTGCTGGTTGTTTGTCCTCTGGTCAGTGGTCCAGACATATGCAGCTCCCCAAGGTGCTGCCGAGAGTAAATAAGACTTAGGTGCTGTGTCGCCATCATCTGACTTTTATTAATGAGCCAATCAATTCCTATTTGTATCACCCTTTCAACTGAAATCCTGGCGTCACAACACTTAACAAATTGGCTGACCTAGAGCTGAGCATTGAGGCATGGAAACGCTCCTTCGCTGTTTCACTGACATTAGCCAATTGTTGTTAAATAGGTTGTTAAATAAAATGTGTCAGGAGATAGCAATGAATAAATCAACTTTTAGCTGACGTATGCGCACTAGTAGAGAGTTTTAGTGGCTTTGTTTATACGATGTGGTCAAATGTGGAGAGAACACATGCATTTGTGCACCTTAAGTCTGGGTTTTTGTATTCAACAGTTCACTTTCTGCTGTTAAAGGCCCTTTCTCATCAAAACAAATAAAATAAAGGAGTTTGTTTGCGTTATAAAGTAGCAAGGGATTATAGGAGTCGTTTTCTTCTCAACTATTGCCGTCATGGAGTCAGTGGTTGCCTTCGTTCAATTTACGGATTTCTCTTGTTTTGAAATGTGTTCGAAAATGTTGAGTTTTGTAACTTTATACACTGTCATTAGAAAAGTTAATTCAGCAACAAAACTCTAGTAGACAAATAGAGTGTTTCCAGAGTCTTTTTACAACATTTTGGGGATTGCCCTTTAGAAAAGTAAGGTCCAAAAAATAAATGTTTTCCACATTTTGTGTGCAAGAACTCAGCTGGCCTCCGCAGAGCCCTGACCTCAACCCAACCCAAGTCCTCAGGGTGTGCTGGAGTGCAGACAGTGAGCCGGCCTTATTGCCCGTTGTCAGTGTCTGACCTCACTATTGCTCTGGGGGCTGAACAGGAGCAAATGCCTGCAATCAGGTCCTAAAATCTTGTGGAAAGCTTCACCAGGTATACTACATTTATAAAAGGGTTTTAGAAATGACAACTAATGGTGTTATTATTGGTAATTGATTCTTCTGTTAATGCTTTAGAGATCAGTTACTCTGTAGATCTTTTATGAGTATTAGAGAACTACAGGATGGAGATCTAGAAAACTATTCAGCCTTTTTGTACTTCCAGCTCCTTCTCAAAGTCAATGGGTTTTTTGATTATATTCTTGAAATACAGTATGTGGTTAAAATAAAATATTTTTGTTCTATGTCATAAATAACACCAGTAATTACCCCACGCATGGATTTCAAAAGGGCCCTATTATGCATTATGCTATTGTGGTATGTAGGTTTTTGTGCATGTAAATGGTCTGCAAAGGCTAAAATCCCTGTTACCTCCAGAGGGAGTTACTCTCTCTCACACTTTCCCCTGCCTGAAACAACTTGATTGGACTCCTTTGTTTACTTCTGTAACATTTGGACATCACTCTGTAATACTCCAGCTTCTATTGGCTACCTACCCTACTAGCTTGCAGTGCTACATACAGCTGTCACCTGATTGGTTGCACGTCGAAAGGTCAGCGGTAACTATGTCAAAGATGAAATAATTAGAACTTTGAGCACAGCACTCGCAGACAATTTTGAGCGAATAAACGACAGAGAGGGTAGAGCTTCCGCCTAGTCGCTCCCTCCATAGAAACACAATGTCGCGCAGAGCTGCTTGCTAGTTTCCATGTGAATGCAGCTTAAGGGGCGGGACATCACTAAGCGATTGACCAATCACAACAGAGCTGGCCAGCTTACCAAGAGCAGACTGGGCTCTGGTTTCAGACAGAGGGTGAAAAGAGGTGCTGCAGCACAGGCAGTATGAGAAAACGAACATTAAAGCATGGAAGGCAGTCACAGTAGAGGCACAAATTACACATTTAAAACCAGAACATTAGCATAATAGGGACCCTTTAAAGGTTTTATGCATGATCATCTACTTAGGGGAGGGTACGTTGATATCAAGGGATCTTGGCTTGAATTGTTTATAACATTATATTTTTAATTCCAGCAATTGCATTGCTGCAACTTTGATACTTATTGTCACTGATAAACTTTGGTTTGCCATAGAGCTTTTTTTTTTGACGATAATCCAAAATCCAGTGCAAGTACAGTACAAAAGCTTTTGTAAATAATATTAATTTAAACCATCAAACCGTCTAATAGGTCCCCAAGTCTGAACCTTAACATATTATGAGTCCTAAAAATCAAGATCTGTCTGTCCATCTATCCATTTCCCCCCCTCAACTTCCCTCACACACAAGGACCCTCTCAACTGAAGCTCTTGATTGCCATCTGCTGATATGTAGCCACAATTACACCATATGGCTGAAACACTTCTCAAAGTCACGGTAATGCTTCATTAAAACAGGAGAGATGATTTTCAGTGATGTACAAAGTTTTATTATTTTAGAAGAAGGTGCAGTTACATGACGGTGTTGAACTAAGAGCTACTGTTTCATGTAAAACTCTACAGTTCCTCTCTTTGGGTTGTAGAAAACATGCCAGCAGGTTTGTTTCTGAAAAGAATCTTGTGTGAACAGTCTACTAAATCATGTTAATGTTAAAACGTTATAATTTCCTATGACTCGGGTTCGTTTTTATAACAACTCTTCATGCTTCAGATCCGAATCCCATGCTTTTAGCATTACTTGACTACAAATCTGCACTCAGGCCACAGGGCGTCCTATGCAACAATGCACTTGCACTACTTTTATGAAAGTACATTTATATTTACTTATAAACAATAGGTTTTTGTGTGAAAGATAAGGCCATGTAGATGTTGGTAAAGGATGGTTTCTTGATTGCCTTGCTTGCTTGTTATTGCATTTCCTCGTTAAGTGCAGAAGTGACGTAGCAGCAGAGAGTCTAGGTGACTGACTTATGCATTGCAGGCTTAAGACCATCATGTCCCATTAGACAGTCCAACTTCAACACTGCATGTTGTAGGATAACAGTACAAAATAAATGAGCTAATGCCCATTTGAGCCCATATTGTTTCCATATGTGGCATCTGTCCTTGTATTTCCTGTGTAAATAATTTGGTTTTGCCTAAAGAAAGCCATTGAAATCAACAAGCTCGGCTGCATTGAAATTATTGTAATTGAGCCCCTTTAAAAACTGTAGCTTGAAACCACTCATGCATGCACATTCTGTATTTAAGAGAAATTCTCATGGAATTTGTCTGCCGACTCATGGCTGGTTTTGTATTCTGCAATCCTTAAATAAATCACCAACAGTAACATGCCATGCAGCCGGTTAATTTTTCGATGGGGAAGTATCAAAGCAATACTTTGAGGGGGAGTCCTTCTAGTATTCAGTAAACACCAGCCGGGTTATCGATGCTGAAAAGCAAGCATGTTTCTTTTTTACTCTGCAAGAATCTAATTGATTATCATAGCTAGGGTTTTGGCATCATAACACCTCAAGTCATTCAAAGGTATAGAAGTTAGCAAGACACTACGCTAACCAGGACTTAAACAATTTTGCATGACTAAACCACACATAAGTGAAAATGGTATTAATGGAGTAACAGGAGAAGTGCTGAAGTGCACTCACTGGAAGAAATCAAGGTGATTTTGTTTCATAAAATGTCTAAATGAAGTGTCATAAATCACATTTAAGAAATTCAATAAAATGACCCCAATTAAGATAATAAATGTCCCTAAATAGCTTTTTTCTAATTAAACAAGATCTTGACAGATGCAATGCAGTTAAGCGTTGCTTAAAGGTAGGGTAGGTAAGTTTGAGAAACCGGTTCGAGATCGCTAGAATTTGAAAATACACAACCGGAGAAAATCTGCCACTTCCTTACAGAGCCCCTCCTCCAACACACACAAACTCGCACATGACCAATGAGGGCACAAGATAAGTTTGTGCACAGATGGAAGGCTGACAGGCAGGTAGGCCATCCAGTTATTTTAGCCGGGCCGGCTAAAATGATTGGTCGTGCTTTTTACAGTACTACGGCTTCCACAGATGACATTTTTTTATGGATTTTTTGTCAAAGCACTTAAGATATTCATTGCTATCGGGATGTTAAGAGTATTCCATGGAATATAACAAAAAGTGTATCTCGAGCCGGTTTCTCAAACTTACCTACCCTACCTTTAATAAACAAAAAAGGTGATACAAACGACCCTTTGATTTTATTTTCAGTTATAAACTGCTAATTATAACCATACGCCTAAAGGTGGAGTCCGCTATTCTAATCGAATGCAACTTTTGTCAACTTGAGTAAATATCTCCCTTTGAGTTTGCTAACCGTCTGCTCTGTGTTTGTTCTTTCACAGCCCTGGTTCTGTAAGTGTGAAAACAGCAAAGGGACACAACACCATTCCAGCCAATCAGCAACCGGGGGCAGAACATGGATGTATTTATAAAGGGAAAGGCAGTGGGAGGGATAGTAAATCTGGAGCAGGGTATTTGTTGGTATTGAGTTCAAATATCAACAACCTTTCTTTAGAATCGCTGACTTAACTTTTAACCTTAAATAGCACGGTCAGCAGCAACAGTCAGTCAGTTGGCTACAAGGTCACATGATAGGTCACCTGATGCGCCTCTGCCGGGCGTAGCAGTTCTTCCTGACCTACTTCAGTCCGGGCCACCCCTTTTCTCCGCATGTGACCTCTCCGGTGAATGACAGAGGTGAGGGGGCGTAGAGCTCGGAGTCTGTGTCTGATTCGCCCTCTGCTATGAAGGGTCGTACCCTGGCACAGATTGAAGGAGCAGCGGCGGCTGCAGGCGCTGCGTTGGCGCCCCTTCCTGAGCCTGTGAAGAAAGTCGGCCCAAAGAAGTCCTCCTTTGCCTGGGAGATGCTGAAGCCGCTGAAGGAGCGATCCAGCTCCTCGTGGTCAACAGACGGGATGGATAGAGAAGTATCGCTCTCTACAGCGGCGGCGTCCTGCTGGCACCTCGGCCTCCGGTGGCGCCTCCTGCTCTGGGAGTCGCTCTCTCTGCTGCCCGGGCCAGAAGAGCCTCGCTCGTGAACTGGAGCAGGTGGAGGCGGGAGGCGGAACAGGTTGGGTGAATGGTCTCTGCTGCCTCCCACTGGTGATGGGGAGTTGGCCACGCTGCTGTTCCAGGCGGGCTGGCTGAGGGGGTGCTGCAGCTGGTGCTGCCAGGAGGTAGAAGCGCGGCTGTGGCTGCCAGAGGGAGTGCCCATCGATATCGGCACAGAGCGACCCAGTAAAGGATCTTTCTTTTCCAAAGAGCTGTCAGAGCAGGGGAGTTCTGCAGGTGAGCATACCTGCACCTCCTTCTCCTCCTTCAACTCCTCTTTGCCCTCCTTCTCCTCCTCGGGGCTGTGGTAAGGCGGGGCTGGATACGGCTCTTTGGAGTTGAAAAAGGCATCTGTTTCTGATCGAGGGATGCCCATACGTTGCACGTACACATTGACCAGGAAATCTAGTTTCCTGTCCATAGAGACCACCTGCAGGTAGACAGAAAAACATGTACGGAAGGTTCTGACAGGCACCTGTCAACAAAGGATTCTGGTGATACAGTTTCTTGATCTAAAGTGTTTACTCTCCTCTATTGACGATGACTTAAAAAAGTAAAAAATATTTTATTTATTCAACAGTAACGTTTTTCTAAGTAACTAATGCAGATGCTCCAAAGGGGCGTGGCCAGCAGCAGCTCATTTCCATTTAAAGCTACTGACCCAGAATCAGCACTTTTGTAACAGGTATGAGGCATGGCTACAATGGGTGATCTGTTTGGTATTTTGAGCTAAACACTTCAGAGAAATGTTTTGTGTAGATATGGCTATTGTTCAAATATAGCATAATAGGTGAGCTTTAAGTCAAAACACAGGAGAGAAAACTAAGACCAGACAATGGTCTTGGACAATATATATTTTTTTCACTTCCATAAAAAGGTATTCATACCAAGTATTTAACAATGTTTAAATTCAGAAAAACAATAGTGCAAATAATCCAACTCATAGGCTACTACTTTCCCACAGCTGGAAGCAACAGCCCTACCTGCTTCTCCACTTTCACCAGACGTCCCATCATGCTCTGGTCATCTGAAGCCTCTCCGTCACCTTTGGGCCCTTTACCAACTATCTGGTCAACTCTAGCATTTGAGAAAAATGATATCCGGTATTAAAAAACACTCTGTTCTGCCACATGGGTTTAAACTTAAGAAGTGTATGATGCCATAATGTGAACTGGTACATGGAAAGTAGGTTTACAGTAGGTTATATGATGCTCATAAAGCTACAAATACTGTATGTTTAGAATGAATGAAGGATGGCCTAATATTTGAGCATTTCCTGAGGAAACATTGATTTCAGGTGGACAGTGTGGACGCATGCTTTATGAGATGAGGCGATATTGACAGTATGTGAATATGGGGTATATTTTATCTAAGGGCCAAAATGCATCACTTGGCATGCTTTTGTTTTGCTTCATGCTTCATTTCCATTGCATCCTGCTGGGGGAGCCGTCCTTCTATCTCTCCAATATGAGAACAAGCATCTAGCACTATCAAACCCCTGTTGAGTGAGGCCATATGACATGGCTCATTAACATTGAGTGAGAACAGCTGATATTATGTGACGAAAAGGTACCTGCACAAAATCCCTTAAAGAGGACATATTATGCTCATTTTCAGATTCATAATTGTATTTTGTTCGAGTACTGTGACTTGTCTTAATGTTTAAATGGGTCTTTTTTTTCTCATACTGCCAGTGCTGCAACATCTCTTTTCACCCTCTGTCTGAAACCAGAGCCCAGTCTGCTCTGATTGGTTAGCTGGCTGGCTCTGTTTTGATTGGTCAAATGCTTAGAGATGTCCCACCCAGGTACAATGTGTGGGAGTGCTAGCCAATAGAAGGGTGAGTGTGAAATAGTGATGTCACAAAAAACGATATAACAGACTACAGGAAAGGGAAAGCCCCAAAAAGCCATGATAAGGCCCCTTGAAGATGCAACTATTTTATATTTAATAAATTATGTATTTTAACACGTTTTTTTTATGATATAAAATGTAGCTTCATCTCAGCATGTATAATCCAGCTCAATGAGACAGGTCAAGTGGCTTGAACTCAAAAGGGATTCTGTCAATCAAAATAATAAGGCAGCATGTTACTGCCTTAATGTTTAGACTATAAAGAGCAATATGCTGGTAACATTCTAGAGGTGCAGTCTATTGACCTAACCTAGGACCTTCAGTGGACTTCTTATGGCGAGGTGTTGAGGGGGGAGGGGGCCCCACAATCATATCTATCCTGGCAAGGCACACAGAGACGATATGAGTGCAATGCAAAATGAAGCAACGCGGGAATCACATCAGCTATGGAGAACACGTTTTCAATATATTCCACACACACAAGACATACGGTGAGTCTGACTTGCTTCGTGGATGAGGAGTGCATGTTTTTCGCTGTTGGAATATATTTATTCTACATGTTAGACCTTCAAGGGGAGCAAAATGTGAGGGACTTAAAACAATGTGATTTATACATCAATGTTATATCTAAAAAATGGAATTGTGACGCATTCAAAGCTGAAGTGGATCGTATTTTGAGATATAAATGTTACGACTGGGAACACAACACATGTCGTTGGACAAATGAAACAGGCAAATCAATGACAACATGTGTGTATCCAAAAACACTGGATTACTGAATCACAGTTCTACTATTAACACTCAGTTTAAACTAATATTAAACTTAAGATATGAGTCTGAAAATGCTTCCAAGTATCTCCCATATCCGTCCTGATATGTTTGAACTCACAGTGAAAGTGACAGTCAGGCAGGTATTCACTCTGAGGAGACCTAGAGATAAGTGTGGTTTAGATTTAAATTGCAACATAGTGTGTTTTGAACGTTCACTTGCCTGGACTGCAGGTTCTTGATACGGGACAGCATGTCCAAGTGACCTGCAGAGTACTGCTCGATCACGTCCATGACATCATAAGGCCGCAAGCTCTCTTTGAACCGCCTCTTTGACACCAGAAACTTCATGATGCTGAGGGGGGACACATTATTTTCTCACATGAAACACAGAGTACGTGAGTAGGCTTTTTTTCACAACTGATATTTAGTGGAATGGTGTTGCATGGGCCAAGGAATTACCAGTTTGGTGTGGATGCGGACATATTTATTTTCTACCTCCACAAAGAGGCTCATGTTTTAGGATCGGATCGTTTTGATGTGTTTTTTTTTACCCAATTATAATGAAAGTTGTTGGAATGGTCGAGCTTGGGCCAAGAAAGAACACATTGTATATTGAAGCGAATACAAATTATATTTTCACTTGGTTTAACATTTTGCGATGACCTTGGCGTGGCATTCTTGTATTTTAATGTATCTGACTGTATGACTTCATGCACGTTCAGACTTAGTGTTTACCACATTTGCAAATCACAGCTATTCATTTGTCAGGTACAATTTTATTATTGCTTATAAATGATGTCCAAATCTAAAAAAGCAATGTTTTCCGTTAATCACTGTTTGAGCTTGAAGCCTGCACCATTGGTGGAAGGAAAAGCCATAAACATCATTCATAGTTTTCTTTCTCCATGGGTGAAATAAATATTGCAGAACCATCAAAAAAAGGGAATAAAAGTGATTCCTTACCATATTGCCCTTATTGTCACCCTCACACCTGGAGGTAATTCCTGAGTGAGAAACTCACAGTGGCAGCTCTTATCATCACCAATTTCCTCTCCTGGGAGGCTGGCCTCTACAGAGCAAAGACAAGGACACTCGTAAACATTATGAAATCTGCTTTCACACCCAGCATCCACCGCAGAAGCAAAGCAGGGCTGTTTGCTTGAACCTTTCAAGGAGTGCACAATTCAATTACCAAGTTGGTTTCAAGCCAGCTAGCCAGCTTGTGAGGGTAGTGACGGTCTTTGAGGAACAACAGAAAAAAGGACTTGGTGCAGAATTGAAGGATAGTGCTGATGGGATAAAGCTTTTCTAAAACCTTCCATAAAAGTACTCTCTTCCCACCACCAATAACAGGCTAGATTAGCATTGTAATCTATGGATTTAGTTGCATGTCGCACACAGGCAAGGGTTTCAAGGCCTAATCATAGTTAGTTACTAAGTGAGATTTTGGTAGGGAAAGTGAGGTCTCTTCATGCAACATCGAGCATGGGTCAAATTTGGATTATCTTGGCGCAACATGACTTGAACCCAAATTAATTTAGCCTCCCATTTATGTAAAAAGAATACTATAATCTTACAGCTCTTACAGTCTTTATAAATACATGCTTGCTCTCAGCTAGTATCATGCTTCAGTCTTCAGTCATCGTTGAGGGGGGGGGGGAATAAAAAGGGTTCATGTCAAGTAAACAAATCTCAGCAGTTCTCAACATGCAGGTTTGTCAGACCAGTAAAGCTAACTTTTCTTTAAATGATTTTCCCCAAAGAGGACAACCAACAACATATCCCAATGTCTTACTTATTAAACCTTCAATTGCTGCAAAGAGAGAGAGAGGAGAGACATGGAGAAAGATTTGTTATGGATTCTAGTCGGATGACAATGGCAGACAAATCACTTCCAAACATGGGAACTGGTTTAGTCCACTGAATGATTTCTGACTCATGTTTGAGTCAGAAATCTCTTCTCTTACATTTACCTGTAACAAACCACATATATCATACAGCTTCATGTAACATATATGGTAAAGTAACAGCCAGACAATACAGAGTAAATCAAAGTCTAAATTGAAGACATGTCATCATGACTTGTCTAACCTGGAGAACTCTTCAGTCCAAAGTCTCCATCCTGCCTTTCAATCAGCACTTTAACATGCGATGAATTGGAAGAAGAAAAATAACTGATGAGAATTGGTTCAAATTGTTTTAGAAACAAGAAATGAAAAGTATATTTGTTGATAGTGACACAGTGGCCTCGAGGACATGTGGATGCAGTTGGGTTGCCTAGCTATCAAATGATGTCTGGACACCAACATCCAAATATGTCTCCCCCGCAAAACATTGGAATCTTGCCTTTAGTGCCGAGATAATCTCCCTGTTTGCCACAGATGTTTGAATGCATGCAGTGGAAACAATATGGCAATATTACCTGCATATGTCTGTACAATTACTTCGAAGAGGCTTTATTGTAATACAATATTTCTAAAAACACACAGCTTGTGACATGAGTGCATGAAGCCTCACAAAACTATATGATGAATGTCCTTCCACATCAACCCAATAACTGTTATGTGGAAAACTCTAGTGTTATCAATGTAAACAAGAGTCCAGCAAGCTGGTTTACTAAATACAAAAACAGCATACTGTACATAAAGGTAAGATTTGACTTAATGTCTGGATAGACCAATAGGCCGATATTAGCTCTCTTAAATGCTAGACAACATTTTCTGAAGTTTGAAACACTGAGAAGACTAGTTTCTCAGCAATTAAACAATAAGCAGTTTACATTGGCTTAAAGGAAGAGTTTGACATTGAAGCGATTGTGCCTAGTGGCTTTCCTGCTGGGATTTAAGATGGGATGATTAAAAGTCAAGTCAAAACAGTTTATTTCAACAGCCAAAAATCATAAATCACTTGTCTTCTTTCTAAAGGCCAGCAGGGAGCAACTTCACTGGTTGAAAAAAAAGTCTGATTGTATAGACGTCTTTGAGAAAATTGTCACTACCAAGGCGTTGATGATCATGTAGTTGTTCTAAAAGACACTTTAAAGGTAGGGTTGGTAAGTTTGAGAAACCGGCTCGAGATACACTTTTTGTTATATTCCATGGAATGCTCTTAACATCCCGATAGCAATGAATATCTTAAGTGCTTTGACAAAAAATCCATAATAATTAAAAAAATTCATCTGTGGAAGCCGTAATACTGAAAAAAGCACGACCAATCATTTTAGCCGGCCCGGCTAAAATAACTGGATGGCCTACCTGCCTGTCAGCCTTCCATCTGTGCACAAACTTATCTTGTGCCCTCATTGGTCATGTGCGTGTTTGTGTGTGTTGGAGGAGGGGCTCTATAAGGAAGTGGCAGATTTTCTCCGGTTGTGTATTTTCAAATTCTAGCGATCTCGAGCCGTTTTCTCCAATTTACCTACCCCACCTTTAATGATTCAGTCGTTAATTTGTTGTAGTTGTTTTAAGTATGTTTTTTTTTAAAGACAAAATAAGTATTCCAATTAGTATAGAAGTTTACATGAATGATGGATGCTACTTTTCTACCAAGCTAGCTAGTTAGCATTAGCATTAGCTAGTAATTCAGCTAGTCAAAGCTTTCTCACAGCTCCTCCCTCCTGTCCAGATTACAGTAATCTAGCTAGTCACTCTTCCTCAGCTCCTTCCTCCTGTGCAGATACAGTATATTGGTCACTAGAACTACTTCCAAAATGTCAAGCTTATTTTAAAGCTGCTTAATGTTTAAGATGTTTGATTGAGTTTAAATTCTGTTTCAGAGAATTTCTATCTTGACATGCACACAAATTTAGAGAAAATAAACAATATATTTTACTATGAACTGTTGTTCAACTTTAACCCTAACCTGTTTCAACCCTATCTCTTGACAAAAAGGTAGTGGTAGTGATAGTGTTCTTCTAAACTGATTATTCTGGACTGTGGAGTTCGCTCACCCTCTGAGTTTTGGCGTGAGGCGCTGCCCCGGACTTTGAAGGCGTGCTTTGGCCCTCGGTTCTTCTCATTGAAACTCAAGCTCTTTGCAACTTTGCTTGGACTGGCCTCGGCCCCCTCCTCCGGAGACTGAGCTTTCCCCTTGGAAGGACTTGGGAACACCTTGTCCTTCAGGCTGGGCTTCCGACTACAGAGAGTAAACAATAACAAGGAAATGTAACTATGTTTTTGATGCAACATTTAATTAAATACACTCTAACTAAATGTCTTTATCCTACTGCTTTCTTGTGCAAGTGTAATCTTTATAATTTGACAAATTCTGCGCTGATGTGATAATAAATCTTACCTCTGTGGAAACGTAAAATTGGGCAATGTCCTACAGCAGAAGGAGTCCATATACGAACATAGTGGAGCATTCAGTGGGTCAGGCAAGCAGCAGGAAGCTAAAAGCAAGCATGCATGGGAAGCAAAGTGACACTGCACGTCTCAAAAAGGCCGAGCTGCGGTCTCACTGTGTGCAAAAAAAGTGAACATAAATCATGCAAAAATAATTCACCATCATACTGTGAGCTCCGCCTGATACACGGGAACTGGTCAAAGGAAACGCATTAAGTATTCAGCAATATGCACCTTGCCTGCTGAACAGAAGTTTGCTGACTAGGCAAAAAAAAGGTAGCAAGCAAATAAAGTGCATAGAGACATTACTAAACAGAAACCATACATCAAGTGTGACAGGGCGGTAAACAGGGATGTATATCTGCATTATCTTTCAAGAGAAAAAAGGTATGTCACATACTATGTTTCACTAATCTATATTTTTAAGTCCTTTCCCTCGATGTGTTTGAATAGGTAAAGGAAACAGAGGTAGGAATGGAAGAAAACATACAGACTTGCAGTGCAGACTTAGTATCTGTGCAGCAACTATACCTAATAGTTCTCGGGCAGCACCCGCAAAGTCTGTCTTTGTGTGCATTTTCACTACTGCAGTGGTGGGTAGTAGAGGAGACACAAAAAGATAAAGTAGCAGTGGATACAGTCACAAAAACAGCAGTGTGTGTGCTATACTGTGATGCCAGTAACACTTTATTGTGACTGATTTATAATACATTTGTTGTATATAACTTGCAGTTAGTTGAATTTATTTTTCCTTTTGTTACTTTTCCACATGTGTAATGAATTTAAATGCCTGCTAGTATCTTCCTAGGGCATAAAATAAGCAAATAGTTTATAAAGGACCAAGTCATGATAAAGTGTTACTACATCTTTAAAGATAACACTTGTTTCTTTTGTCAAAAACAATGTGATATATATCAAGCTCCGAAAGTATTCAAAATCACTTTTTTCCCCCCAAGCTGATGCTGAAAGCCAGAGAATCAAAGAACAGCTTAGTGGTGAGAAAGTGGGCATGAGGCCAAATTCAGCTGATCTTTGGTGCACCATGTGAGCAAATGCAGCATGACCGTTCTTGAAGGAGTTACTTAACATACAGACACATCCATGTCGGACACGCAGGACTTACAACACACACTCACACACAGATATACTGTACACACACACTCCCTCAAGAAGAGTGCCTCAGCAGCAGCTAAGAGCAGATTTGAAGAGAAGCCAAAGGGAGGTGAAGAAAAATAAAATGCTAACTGATCACAGACCTGGGAGAGGTTTCAGCTTGAGAGTCCTTCCTATGAGGAGAGGAGAAACTAACTGTTACACGGTGAAAGTCGTCATGAGTTACACTGTATGTTATAATTAACATCGATCCATGTTGTTAAGGTTGTGGTAGATTAGCCCTGGAACATGTTCAGAGAAATATTAAGACAAGTTGCTAGATGTAAAAAAGTGTGCTGCTTCAAATTCAATGTACATACAGTATAAGACGAGATAAAAAAGATAAAAAATGACATGAGCCATTTAAGCCATTTTAGGCGGCTAAAACAAGCTTTGAAAACAACATTAAAATATTGTCACTGCTCCTAACACTAGGATGGGTCAAATGCAGAGATCTTTTGTCCGGCAGTGGCTCAGTCAGTAGGGGCTTGGACTGGGAGCCGTAGGGTCGCTGGTTCAAGTCCCCGACCAGACCTAAATATGGAGTGTGGACTTCTACTTGGAGAGGTCCCAGTTCACCTCCTGCCCTGCCGTGGTGCCCTTGAGCAAGGCACCGGACACCCCCCTTCCCCCCCCACTCCCATTGCTCCCCGGGCGCTGTACAATAGCTGCCCACTGCTCCTAGTACTAGACTCCTTGTACTAGGATGGGTTAAAAGCAGAGGCCAAATTTCACTGTGTGTGCTGTGTGCTCTGCATGTGTGACCATTAAAGAGGGTTTCATCCCTCCCTATTCTTCTTCAAATTCTTCTTGTCACTTTATATGGTACATTTCAGACAATGAGCAACACAGACTTTAATTCATAGTTTAGCTGTCTCTATCAAATTAATATAAGCATTTTATTAGAATAAAAAAGAGGACATACAGAGCTTTCGGGTCTCAAAAGTAAAGCCAATGCCAAAATGTCTCAAACCTGCATTATCTCTAATGTCCAGCAGGGGCTGCCCTATTGGTCAGAAGCATAGACTGTATATGATCAGAAGTCAAATTGTATGAAAAAATCACCTTACTTGTCGCTTGATTTATTACCACTCTATACATGTTCCAACTAGTGAGTTTATGGTCTCAATCCCTAGTTTGAAGTCTTCTTCGATGCAAGACATGTGTGTGGCCCTCAACAGTTGAATTATCAAAGGTTGTCGTTTTGCTTGATTGCCAGTTAAGAAGTGAATTTTTTTTTTTAGTATCCCTTTTTTTTATTAAATATGCATTTTTCTAATCCAAAGGTTATTTCTTCACTGGCAATAACCATTACCCATCATCACTATGCTCCCCATTATACAGTGTAAGCATCCCAGCATCCTTTTCATTATCATCTTCGGCTTTGTCAATGCTCATGTTTTTACCTGAATGACTTTCCCTTCAGATTCCTCAGCAGGTCCAGCTGATTCAGAGGTGGAATGAGTCTGGGAAAAGACAAAGAGCATTTCTGTCAAGGAACTTTCAACTCAATGTCGAAAGGTTGAAGCTCGCCGCTGGGCGCTTTTAGTTTGGCAGTTCTCTATTCTGCTGGTCATCACCTTTTTACCTACAACTGGAATGAAACCAAAAAACAGAAGCCATTTTCAATTAGAAAAGACAAGCAGCTTCTTCTAGACACATATTAGTCAGAAAAGTGTGCCGTGAAAGTCTGGCATGGCAGCTCAACTGCTGATTCATACAGTTGGGCAGTGAAATAGGTGGTTAATTTTACAAAGTAGCCACTGGCAGTGTTTGTCTTTGGAACTATGTTTCAAAAGAGGTGTCACTGCCAAGACACCAGCATCAGCCACTGTAAAATTACCCTTATTTAAGCAGAAAGTGAAAGTCACACCGGTGAGCGATGCTTCAGTAGTATCTGATTCAACAAATGAGTTTAGAATACAATAAGACAAAGAATCAGATTTCCACTTAGCTTAGTTTTCAGAGAGATGGCAGAATGTGATATGGGAAAACAGTATTTATTGAAAATGTAAAGCATTACTCAGACATATCCATCACTTACCTGTACATTGGGATCGCTACAGTCTGCTCGTAAAAATCCCAAGTGTACATCAAATCTGTCCGGGAAAGGTTGGTAGCATAAAACCTCCAAGCACCCTGAAAAGAGACAGGAAACGACTTTTAATCTTTTCGTCAGAAGCACAACCAGGAATAAAATCTGCTGTAAATCCCATAAATTGTGTTGTTATCATTCAGTTTTTACCTGGATGAGGCCTGCTGCAGGGGTACGTCTCTTCTCAAAATGTTTCTGCCTGTGTTGCTCTTGTACCTTCAGGGCAAAGCCAGAACCCAGGATGCCCTAAACGATAAAGGTATCTTTATTGACCTCTATTGGCCAGGAGTTGGAATCGCAACTCCTTCAACATGTGGAACAACTTTCCACAACAGAGAGTAGGGAGCTAATACAACTATACAGTAAGATGGCATATGACAGATGTCTACAAAGCCTTAAGGTAATATGATTGTTTGATACAATTATTTCCTTCCCACATGGCAAAAGTAAAGGCTGTTTCCTGTTAACAGAATGCTGATACAGCAATCATATTTGTGTTGGACCAGTTTTAACTAAAAGCTTACTGCTGAGTCTGACATTTTTAAATCTCAGGTGAAATGCCAAACATTTAGCAGCAAGTGACAAACACATCAGTGACTGGAATTATGTCATTACAGTAGGTGAGAGCTTTCTAAATGTGAAGGGACACATGAGCAGTGTTTTTGAGGAAGCTTTTAGCTGGCTTCTATAGTCTAATTATCAAAGAAGACAAATACTCTATAATATTCTAGACTGCTTATTTTTCTGGGTGGGATCATAAAAGACTGAAAAGTTTTTAGGTAGCTGGGGATCACTACATTATATTAAATATTCACATCCTTTCAATATATCACAGCAGAAATGTAATTACAAGAGAAATACAAATATAATTAATGATGGGAACAATGGCTGCATACTGTTTAGGTACTCTAGGTTCAGGGCCCTAGTATTGTGTATGCTGGTTCACTCAGACCATGGATTGATTACTGAAAGAAGAATGTCTCATGAAGTGACACATAACAACTAAAAATAGACACAAAAAGACCACAAAGTCACACAAAACAACATACAAAATACACAAAACAACAGCAAAAGAGGCAAAATTACTGTTTTACATTATAAAGAAGTATGTCATTTTGCCACTTGGTGGCAGCGTGGCAAGCTGAGAATACCACTTCCTTTTTAGATGTTTTTGTGCTAACCAACAATTGGCCATTTTCACACAATCAGTGGATGTAGAGGATCATCTTTTGCATTTGGGGTTGTTTTTTTTATGACCTGATGAATGTAAGTCTAATTTATGCTCTCTGTTGATAGTCTCTATGACGCCATGTGTCTTATGGAGGTACAGAGCAGTTACACCACATTGCTGATCACTTAACAACATAGAGACTTAATTAACACAAAAGAAACCACGACACTGGGTTCAAAGTGTGTCGTACTCACAGCAGGAAGTGCAAAGAAGGCCACCCCGATCATGCTGAACGCGGCTGCCAGCATGCGACCATTCCAGGTCTTTGGAACCTTATCACCATAACCAATGGTGGTGAGAGTTATCTGGTGAGAAGATAAGTTAAAGTCACTCTGATTCGTGGAACAGGTTGCATAAAAGAAAGAGAGGAAAACTGGAAATAAAATGTGTAGTATAAGACAGACCCTTTCCCCCCTGTCTTACCAGTCCCCACCAAAGGGCATCAGCATAGGTCTCAAACTCAGTATTTGAATCTTTTTCCACGGAGTAGACCAGGAATGAAGCCAGGATGAGGCACAGGAAGCCGATGTACCACGCTGTGATGAGCTCCTGCAGGGAAGACCAATACAGTGAGCGGCAGGGAATCTAAAGTAATAGTGTCATCGAAGAAGCCTGGCAAAGTGGTGATGTAACCTCTGTAAATTGGTAAAAATGGCCTTTGTAATAATATTACATTACATTAGAAACATAATTATGTGAGTCCATTGTCCTCTGCGGTAGACCAAGCACTTCATAATAACCGTCTTTGTTTCCCTCGATGCTTCCTCTCTCCGTCTCACCACATCACACAAACAGTTTTCCACTATCTTGTTAGTGCAAGCTGATAATTCAAAGCTCATTAAAATAAAACTGAGAGAAATATATTTCCATACCATGACAGGATTACTGTCACTGAATTAACACGGTGGAAAATAAAGCACTATTAGTTTTAACCCCCATGGTTTAAGTCCCATGTGAAGACCACTTTCACCCAGGAGACCACTGTATTGATTGACTGTAAAATAAAACGGCAACGTTAGGCCTACGTCACTTTTATTACATTCTTAACTTACATACACAACTTAACTTAAATATGTAACTTAGGAAATGTAACAAATATAGTTATTTTCATTTCATTTCATTTAATCGTTTATTTGAAGAGGGACAGTGCACATTGATGAACATTTAAAACAAATAATGCTTTAAAAACGTAAACATGCCTGATTTTAGCTTTGAGCTAGTTTCCATCCGTAGTCCCTCACATACAACATTTAAGAACATGACATTTATATACATAGCAAAATAAATACATGATATGCAGGAAGAGCATGAGCAGCATACAAGCATTTACCACATGGCAGTACAATGTAGCAGCTACGACATATAAAGTGCAAGAGAAGATAAAAGTGCTACATCAAGTGCAAGAGGAGATGCCCCTGTATTGAAGTGCATCTAGCGGTGATTGCACGTTTGTTTGTTTGTTTCTCAACCATTCTTTTAGTTGACCTTTAAAACTGTTCAAAGTGGGACAATCCCGTAACTCAGTTGGGAGGCTAGTCCACAAAGAGCTGCCCTTAACCAGTTAAACCCCACGGCCCAGCGGGCGAGGGCAAAACGCAACATCTTGCAAGAAACAGCGTCTGAGGGCTTCTTAATATTTAACAAACTATGAATGTGTCATACCCACTTAATGGGAAGAAACTCAGCTATCAGACAATATTAATCGTTTTTAGCTAAACGAAACAAAAGGGTAATAACAAAGGCTCTGAATTAGCCCTGAGCGAAAAAATGCTAACGCACTTAGCACAGAACTCAAGGTAAAATACCCTTATCGGATCTGCACAAAAAAGATATCGATTAGCAAGCTGAGATTCCACAGATTCCAGACATATCATCAGAACTCGCGGCCAAACTACAAGAAACAACAACAAAGAAATGTGCTTTACGGAGCCAAAACGGCTAAAAACGTCTCACCTTAGCTGTTGTTCTGATCAAAAGTTGTGTTCAATGGCATTAAAACGAGAAAAACGCTGCTGAAGGTTAATCCATGGGTTTGTTGGAGTCGGGAGGCCTGTTAATTTATTCCGGCAATTACTCAGACCTACTAATTGACCTAACAGAAGCTATTAGGCGCGTTCACACCGGAGTACTTTGGAGTACTTTTCCCACAATAGTTCATCAGAACTACGATATATTTGCGTTCACACCAAAAAGCCCCAGGAACTAAAGTAGTTCAAATTAGTTCGTCAGACCCGCTTTTCAGTCCCTGCTAGAGAGCAGGGACTGTTGTGGGAGAAAATAGTTTGTACGTCTGATTGGCTGTGCGGAATGCAAACCACGCCCGTTTGACTCTGAATTTTTTTTTGGAAGCGGCCATTGTATTTGCTCGCTTCGGCCAGCGCACTCGAAGAGATTACTTTTGTGAAAGCAGTTATTATAGCAACACTAAATAAATCATCGGAGCGGTGGAGTGATGAGGATGTGTCGGCGCTTCTGGCGATTTACTCGGAGTACGCGAAGCGCCGCATTCAGAAGCTTCTACTGAATGCAGTTTCCGTGGCTCAGCAAAGTTAGCAGACCTGGCAAAGTCATGTCGGGACGACTACGAAGGTAAAATAAAATACATGCACTGCACTGTTTTAATCTGCACAATACTGGTCTTAGATGTACTTTTATTTGCTCAGTAGATCGAGCTAGCCATGCTAGAACTTGCTATAATAGGTCCAAGCTGGCTAACAACATCTAGCTAGCTAGCTATTCTCAGCCGTCCCCACTATGAACACGTTTTGACTTGTGAATAAGTGTGCAATGTTCTGTAATTTGCTTCACTAACTCATGGCACTAATCGTGTGTTTCAGGCGAGGTGTTTCTCTCAGGATTAGAAACTAGTTTTCCCCTCCGGGATAAAACGATAATATAACGTTAGCAATTAGCATGCTAGCTGAACATAATGCTACCTTAACAATACATTGTAGTTGCTATAATTTCAAGTCATTTGCAACATTCATTCTACATGTTAATGGTAAAAGCTTAAACAGTTGATTACCTGCATGCCACAAAGACTGATGTTCTAATATTTTTGCACATTTAAGTAGAAATGTAATTGAAATTCTATTTATTTTTCCTTTTTTTTATTGATTGTTATAATTGTACTCAGCCATGTTATGTTAGATGTCAATCCACTTACACTGTAACTACTCTGGCCTTGAAAGAAGGTTACACATCTAACTGATGTCCACTAATCCCTATAAAACAAAGTTCAAGTATACATTAAGCACAAAACAATAAATTTTGTACACTGTCCCTGCCTGCACCATGTCCAATGTTGGACAATGTTGTCTCGTTGTTGCGATTAAACTGATCTTGTATCTTGCATATTTCACCTTAGGAAAGTGGGCACGCGATGACAGCTTCCTTGACACCATCATGGCGATGGACTGCCGTGCCATGGTCAGCAAGGAGAATGAGGACCTGCGTGCCAAGGAGATGCACGACGAACGCTTGCTGCATTCATTCACACAAGGCCCAGGAATCGGACGACTAGCTGCTCATGGTGCCAGGTGGAGCAACAAAATACCTTTGAGGCTGGGCTTCTGGCAGTGCTAAGCGAGCTGATTAAATCCAACAGGCCTTCAATACAAAAATTAAGAAAAACTTGTCGTCGTTGATAAACTGTACAATGACTTGTTGGGAGGCGTGTGGTGCAGTGCTCTGGTGCGTTGGTGTTCGGATCAGGGGAGCACAGGTTCAAACCCCACTGCAGTCAGGATGTCGTTGTGTCCCTGGGCAAGACACTTCACCCCAAATTGCCTACACCTGGGACAGTTAATTTTGTATTATTGTGATTATATATATATATGCCACTGTTATTAATACTGACACCTAACTTTGCACTAAGGTGTGTCTGCTGCTGAGCCTACCTATTGTTATTATATATATATATTGCCACTGTTATTATATTGTTTTGATACTACTGACACTTATTGATCTGCTGCTGATAAATAAAAGAGAACCTACATGCACAGCATTAGCATCATGACTGTCTTTGTTTAAACCAGCAGCAGTGCAGCGGTACACAGACTAACCTGTGTGTGTGTAACGTAGTTCTTCAGGTGTGGATGCTTAACATGTATGTATTTATCACAGTAAAGATGGTATACAAAAGCTTTTTAAAGAGCTTTCAACCTCATCCCATTGTCTTTAACACACATTTAACATAATAATATACTCATATTAATATACAAATATACAGTATGAGTACTGTTTTGATACTGACATTTAATCTTTGCACTAAGGTGTGTCTGCACTATTGTAATTGTGTCTGTTGACTGTGGTAAATAAAAGAGAGAACCAAATGCACTGTACAAAAGATCAGCTTTATTGTCAATTTACAATTTCCATGCTGTTCAGATGCCTCAAGGGCTGTGCGCGTGTCTTGCCCCGCGGCGATTTCTTTAGGTTGCGTCTCCCCAACGTTGCTTCCAGGCGAATACAGAGGAGTTGAAAAGATCCATTTTGATCCACTGCACATTGGTGTACGTTGGCAGTGCACCACCTTCTCCCACCAGGCCGATGTTCTATTGTTCACCCAGAGAGAGCGCGGGACACAACGCGTTCCGTAGTATTCGCATATCTGGAACACATACAAATACACAAATTAGCCCTACATAACTCCATAAATCCTACATTAGATAGTATTAATGTGATTTAATGAACGTACCATTGCTGTTCTTTGGGCGTGATAACGGTCATCATGCTCAGCTGTCCTACGGCGAAACATGTCCATAGCGTGTGCTTTTCGTGGTCCAATCCTTTTGTTAAGGCTTCTTAACCGCCTTCGCCTCCGACTCAGCATTTCTATTGCATTTGAATGGTCGATCTGTATTTTTATTTGTGGCTGAGTTATTGGCTTAAATAACTCAGTTACGAAGCTGTATAACACGACCACCAAAACGTCAACTCCATAGCGTGTCTGACTGAGGTCGGAAGGTAAACAGAAGCATACAGCGGAAGCGGAAGTTTTTTTTCTTCTTCTTCTCTCGGTTTTTTGGCGAATTGCAACTTTAAGGTGCATACCGCCACCTACTGTACTCGCCGTGAAGTTGTTTGCGGCCTGCCAGTAAACCCAAAGCAGAAGAAGAAGAAGTGACGTCAGCGGCTCATTTGCCTAATCCACCCCCAGGAACTCATTTTGGTGTGAACGCGATCTGCTTTAGTTCATCAGAACTAAAAGAGCTCTCATGAACCAAAGTTCTCATGAACTACTGTGGGAAAAGTACTTGGTGTGAACGCCCCTATTGAGTCTATGTAAGTTTACTGCCAGGCTCGGATCCACCTGGATCAGCAAGGTCTCACCTCTACTAACTCCTGAAGAACCAGGTTCAATTAATTGCTGTTTCAATTCAGACGACGCACTAAATGCTGTGGTCCTTTTCTAATATAAAACCTCAATTCACAGTTTTACATTTCTTACATTAAATTCTAACTTCAACTGGCCCACTTCAGTTGTGACATTACATTCTAACTTCAACTGGCCCACTTCAGTTATGACATTACATTCTAACTTCAACTGGCCCACCTCAGTTGTGACATTTATGGCGCATTTCCACCATGGCGCGGAGCGTGGTTTAAGCGTGCCGTGTCGTGCCGGGCCCGTTTTTGGTTGCGTTTCCACTATGCCTAGTTCCGGCCCGGGGCTACTTTTTCATTTTTGTTCTGGCCCGACAAAATCGTGGTTCTATCAGGGCCAACAAACAGGGCTGAGTGGGGCTGAGTTTGCTAAACTAGAGAGAGAATCGCTGGCAAGGGGGCTACAACTACAACAAGATGAACATATTTGACCGTGATTTAATTGTAATACACGTTTCAAAATTATGCCGAAGTAACAACATACTGATACCGGTTAGTAAAAACCATGAATTAATGCTTTGACAAGTCTGCAGACAGACGGCAGGCGAAAAACCTTTTAAAATGCGCGTTGTCTAAATGGAGATCGGCTAAGCTAACGCAATATATGCTCCGACCGTCCACACTCACAACAACGGCCTATACAGACATAAATAAACCAGCGACTGTACTCGCCATGACACAGACAGTCTGTGGTTTGTACTTGTTTAACTTTTGTCTGGTTTCTGAACAGATATGAGGAGCTGTGAGCTTGAGTGCTAACAGCTAACGGCTGATGTTGGTTTTCTGGGGTGCTCATTGAAGATGACGTCACGGCTCCGCCTACACTGCGTTACTATAGATACTACCCCAGTTCCTAAACTGTAATGGAAGCGCAGCATAAAGTGAGCCAGTCCTAACAAGGCATAACCATACCGAGCGAGGCCGAGCGAGGCCGTGTAGTGGAAATGCGCCATTACATTCTAACCTCAACTGGCCCACTTCAGTTGTGACATTTAAATTCTAACTTCAACTGGCCCACTTCAGCTGTGACATTACAATTCTAACTTCAACTGGCCCACTTCAGTTGTGACATTTAAATGCTAACTTCAACTGGCCAACTTCAGTTGTGACATTTACATTCTAACCTCAACTGGCCCACTTCAGTTGTGACATTTAAATTCTAAATTCAACTGGCACACTTCAGTTGTGACATTTAAATTCTAACCTCAACTGGCCCACTTCAGTTGTGACATTTAAATTCTAACTTCAACTGGCCCACTTCAGTTGTGACATTTAAATTCTAACCTCAACTGGCCCACTTTAGTTGTGACATTTCAATTCTAACTTCAACTGGCCCACTTCAGTTGTGACATTTAAATTCTAAATTCAACTGGCACACTTCAGTTGTGACATTTAAATTCTAAACTCAACTGGCCCACTTCAGTTGTGACATTTAAATTCTAACTTCAACTGGCCCACTTCAGTTGTGACATTTAAATTCTAACTTCAACTGGCCCACTTCAGTTGTGACATTTAAATTGTACCTTTTAAATTCTTCCGACAGAATTTAGAGGAATATCCTCATAAATGGTCGGTGATAAAAAACACATTAAAACTTTCATTCAACAATACATTCAAAATCAAAGTCAATTTCAGAGAACTTACTAAGGAAAACCCCCGCTCTGGAGCTTTCTCCCTCTCAACCAGTGCTTTTATGCTCCACACAGGGACAGAAAACCAAAGACACACCTTCATACGTGGGGAAAGGTCATGGCCTCTGGTGTGCAGGACTGGACATGTCCAGACATATTCTCCTATGGTATGGCCTAAACCCATTTTGGGGCTTCAGTACTTTTCCATTGAGTCAGGGGTCTCCTGTGCACAGCTTGCTGTGAGTGAAGACAACTGTCTCCCCTCTTTAAACAGTAACACCCCGTAGTGATAAACTATAATAGGCCTTAAACTCAATTTACCAAACCCCTTGTGTTTGTAAATACTGTGATTATAGAACAACATGAAATATAATGCATTTTCATTGTGGGTTATACAAGAATATATTTGATTATATTTGATTATATTAACTTTCGTTTTAATTATTCAACTTAATATGGAGACCTCAACAGGTTCCAGATATATGGCAAATATACCCAAATGACCACAGAGTTGGGTTTTGTTTTTTCTAAACCTCTCTAAAAAGGTCAAATTTCACTTGTTTTGCATCAATCTTGATACACGGTACTAATTATATGTTTTAGTTTGGATTCCTAAAGCTTTTAGTCTACTATCCCATCATTCAAGGGTGGTTTTCACTATAAGTAATGGGTTTTTTTTGGACGGAGACTACAATTTACAGTTTTTTACTATGTTCAATCTGAATTTACTTTAAAAATAAAAACATCTATATTGATTCTGACTTTTCTACATCCAACTCACAAGTGTATCATTGCTTTGAGAAAAAAGATTATTAAGTTACCCCTTTTAGAAGTGAAGATATAGTCATTTGTTCTGGGCATGTCATTTTCAAGCCTGAAACCTGAAAAACATGCTTGGGGCTTAACAGTTTTGATAGAACATTTTTGACAGAAAGTGGTCCATCTACGGTGGACTTCACAGTCTCCTCTGGTTTCTGACCTAGTGCAGCATCCAGTGTGTTTTTTGTGGATGAATTCCCCTAAGGGAGGGGGTGCCAGTCCATGTAAACATTTATAAAAAAAACACATACTTTTAAAATACTTAAAATTGTCAAAACTCAAGAAATTGTGTTTTAACCCAAACCATGACATTTTACTAAACCTAAATAATGTTTAAAACTGCAACTGTGACCTGGAGGAAATAGGTTTTACTTAAAACGTAATTAATAATGTTTTTTGTTGTAGCCAAAGTCATCCTTTTGCCCTGGCTTAGCTTATTTAAGTCCTTTCACTTCCTCTGCATGTTTTCTAGGTAAAACAATAACACATGTTTATATTTACAGTAAATTAATCATCTAATCAAAAGCTGGAAGTGGACATACATCAATGATAATACAGTAAAGACAGTATTCAAAACATTATTTATCTTAAAATATGTTTTTGTAACCTTTACCTACCATACATTTCAGTGTAGTTAATGTAACTGCAGAGCACAGTAGATATGCTTGTTAACACCACATCTGGCTGGCTAATATTACCAACACTGTGATCACACCTTTGAGAAAGGTGTTTAAAAGACGGAGCGTTCAACTCTTATTCAACTTCTACAGTAAATCTTGAATGATGTCACCTTGCTGTGGGCGTAAACTACAGATCCCAGCAGCTTCCAGGTGCCCCCCCGGCGGTCCATACGCAGCATGCGCAGGATCTGCAGGAATCTCAAACTCCTGATGGCCGAGGTGGCGAACACATTGCCCTGAGAACCGGCCGCCAGCACTGACACGGAGGCGATCAGCACCATGATGTCTGGAGAGAGAAAACACATCACAGAACTCTGAACACGCTGGGGAAGATACAGATCCCCGATCAAATCAGAGTGAATTACCAACACTTTACTGAGTACAACGAGGACCAATTTCCTTGTAATTCAAAAGTTGCTTAGAGTACTTAGAAGCAACTAGAAGAGTCAAGTTTTCTTGAGTTTTTTTATGTTCTGTTAATGGCAACCAATATGGAGAAAATGATGGTTATTATATTCAGGACCAAAGCCTCCAGCATTAGAATGAATGGAAAAAACACAGTAATGCTTCTTTGTAATGTTTTATGAGCAGAGATGGCAAAAGTACACACATCCTTTACTCAAGTAGAAGTACAGATACTTGTGTTTAAAAATACTCTGGTAAAAGTAGAAGTACTGACTAAACTTCGTCACTCGAGTAAAAGTAAAGAAGAATGGGCTTCGAAATGTACTTAAGTAAAAAGTACCCATAACTACCAGGTGTTTTAAAGAGTACCTGACCTCCCTTTATATTAATAGAACAATATGTCATTGTTAGCTAATGAATGTTTCCATGCTGAACAACGGCAACATGACAACGTTTTCATTGGTCCCTCTTCTTTAGAGAAGACCAGGAAATGATGGATACACGGATCGTGTTCAAATCAATAGGCACGCAATGACTCTAAATAATAATGATCACGCCACCAAACACACATTTAAACTAAAGTAACCAGCCTGTTTGGAAAATGTAAGAAGTAGAAAGTACAGCTGTTTGTGTTAAACATGTAAGAAGTCAAAGTAAAAAGTCGTCAGAAAAATAAGTAGTGGAGTAAAGTACTGGTACCAGAAAAATGTATTTAAGTACAGTAACAAAGTATTTGTACTCCACTACTCCCCACCTCTGTCTATGAGAGAGCAAGGGGACATCCAGCCCCACTCTGTTTTCTCACCTATGACACAGAAAGGCTTTCTGGCGAACTTGAGCCTCCCTCTCCATTCTCTGTACCGACAGCAGCAGCCAGCCGCCCATATCCTCACGATGTACTCCACTCCAAACACCACGATGGTCACTATTTCCTGTGGAACAAACCAAAGCGGCAAAGTTAACCCTGAGACATGTTTGTATATGGAGTACAACTAATGAAATGGTGCCTACCAGGATGTACAAGGCACTCTCTGAGCTATTCTTGAACTCTCTGATGGTGGCAAACACTGAGAGGATGAGACAGGAGAAGATCAAGAGGAAGCTGATGGGAGGAAAAGCACAAAAACAGTTATTGCTTTTTATTTTAAGGTATTTCACAGTTGTTATATCCTTTTCATTCATTCAGTGAATCAGTCTGCATAACCATATAAATAAAGCATGTGTGGTGTCAGTTTCTTAAAGGGGCAGTTCACCCCAAATCAACCAAATATTCTCAATTACCCTAAGGTATTTAAAAGATGATTATTTGCATTTTTCACCCCGGTAAAATGGAGATGAACGGACATTCAAAGCACTGAAAAAGGACATTTCAATAACTAAACAGCATTATGGCTTTCAGAAACCCATTTCGATGAACCACATACCGTTGTCAACAGTTGCCATAAGGACTTTATTTTGTTGGTTTAAACATTTAAATTAAATTGAAGAATGAAGAAAAAACATGTGCATGGCTTGATACCAACCCTTTATGATATTTCCACATTTAATGTAATATTAATCTGCTGGCATTGTCACGATCATTTGCCATAAAGACCATTTCCCATCTGTTTATCAAATTCTGAAGCTTAAGTAGGGACAGTTGGGGACTTAATGAATAATTAGAGCCTCAGAAGCTGGGTGGTGCCTTTCTTAGCGGAAATAAGCAAAGTGCATGAACATCTGCAGCTCGTTTAGGAGGAATCAGGGAAGTAGTCAATAAGACAGAAAGCCTGAAAGATGCAAGCAGATACATTTTTATTGGAACCACTGATCCTTCTTAAATGATGTCAATGAAACGATAACAATAAGGTTTCCCATGTAGAACTTGAGTTAGGTCAAGTGACCTTATAACACGTGTTGACATTGACAATTACGAAGAATAAGTGCAATTACTGGCTTTTTCAGACAGTAACTCTTCACTGGATTGACACAAAAGTCATTACTCCTTTCAACAAAGGTTGGGAGTTAGTGTAAGATGAGTTTAAACTTTGTTAAGACTGGGACAATCCCATAGACCAAACTCCTCCATTAACAGGTCGATATATTAAAGATGTTACCAAAGATCAATAAAACAATTTGTTGTCTAGGTACAATAGAAAAGGGATGGTGAATGGTTTTAAGTAGACTGATGTGATTTGGAAGAAAATCAATTCTGCAGCCACACATCCAGAAGATTGGCTGAGACCATCAGGCGAGCGCTTTATTGGATGGAACATAACATGTGATTTCAGAGAGGAAGAGGCATGGCAAGGCCTGACCTTAGGGACCTTCTTCAGAAAAGATCGACTGGAAGAATTCCAAAGCAGAGATAATGGAGAGTGCCTGGTGAAACCCAATACTAGGACCACGCAGGAATTCAAGAAGAAAGCAGGCGCAGCTATCATTAATCATAAGATACAGTGGCATCAAGCATCTCTCTGAGCACAAGATCAGGTAACACATTAAAGCTCAAACTACACCCGAGTGATCTCATTTAACAATATACTGTTTGAGTGGTGGGAGTGGGCTGATGGAGAAATGAAAGGGTGGTTGTTATGACGAAGATGTGAGTAATACCTATTCACACATCCAACAGGAAAACTGCCTTTTAGCTCCGTTTTTGGTCTCAACCTTCATTCCAAAAAATGGCCATTTAGCTTCTAAATGCAACACTAACTTCACCAGTTGGTTGCTACATTTATAGGATTGATTGTTATCAAACCGTGTCTTATCAGTTTCTTATCACTACCATTCAAATGCTTCAGATGGGGCAAATGACACCTACCCTCACGATATGAAACGGTCGCAGTTTTAAACAGGTGTTCAATGTTGCAAAACATTGATACAAAAATCATTGGTTAGTTCTAGGAAAAGATGGTCGTTTGGGGTACAATAAGTAGATGGGAACTTAAAGTGTCACATGTATGTATACATTTGAAGTCACGATTTGTGTTATGGCTGCAGTGATCTAGCTTAGGAATAGATGACTACAGCCTACTGAACCTCATCTATGTTCAGATAACTACGTATAAAAGCACTTTATTCAGCTGTTAACATCCGAAGCTGTTGCTGCTGAACAGGAAGTGTACAGCTAAATGCTTCAGCTTGAAACAAAGCTGATGCACAAATAACAAACCAATCAGAAAGGATAGGTGAGATGACTTCGTAGAGATGAGGGGATGTGGAGAGTTTGGTGATAAGTCATTGAGGGTTGGTGACACATTTCCATTACATTTAGTTACTTCATCCATTATTGATATAAGTCATATTGATTGTGTGGAGGTGGGCTATCGGGGTCAAATTTCTCCTAGGGCCAAGGAAGAACTAACACCAGCACACACACACACACACACACACACACACACACACACACACACACACACACACACACACACACACACACACACACACACACACACACACACACACACACACACACACACACACACACACACACACACACACACACACACACACACACACACACACACACACACACACACACACACACACACACACACACACACACACACACACACACACACACACAGCCCAATAGTGATGGCTTTAGCTGTTGATTATTCTTATTTTCAAGGTCACTCAATAGGGCAGTCATGTTCTGACTAGTTGTACCAGTTTTCATATATTATCTACCAGACTGGTCTCCAAGGGTATATTATTGTCATATCCATCTAAATTGTACATTGAATCAGCAAATTGGATCGGAATCATTGAGTGAAGCAATAGAAAGAATCAGACCCAAAAAACATATTATACCATTGGAATCAATACATCTTATCAACCCATAGTTCAGGCACCTGCAGAACATTATTCTGACAAAGCTGAGACATCTGATGCTTCTGTCTTTTGTTCTCTTGTGACATATTGAGGTCAGTCTTCACATGTCATCGTTTACAGAACAGTGACTTGTCACTTCACTGTCTGAAGACCAACATGTTGGTGTGTATGCTGGGAACAGATCCATTAATACGACTTCACAAGTCTACATTCATGATGCTGAGACCTTAAGGGACAGTTCTTCCACAAATCACAAATACATATTTTGCCTCTTATTTTCAGTTCCGTTCATAAATGTATATAGTGTTGGTGTGAGCTCCTCAGTGATTTAGATATCGGACGAACACATATCTAGCTCTTCTCCAACAAAATGAAACTAGATTGCTATTGGCCTGTGTCGGTGAATGTGCTAAACAAACAGAAGAACTTGTTGATTACAGCAAAGTGTGTAGATTATCTTTCTGTACCCAGGTAATGATTTTTCAAATATATTCCTGAGCACCACAACCAGAGGGCCATATAGTTCAATAGTATTGGAGAGAAGGCACACTCTCTTAACACAATATATCTCACAATTGGCAACTTACACCAAAACAATCTACAGTATACTGATAAATAGCGCTACTATTTGAATTTTGTTAAGAACTTTTCCATCAGGATTCTTATAACTTCAGTTTGCTGTAGCTTGCAAATCAAAAAGATGCACTATGCAAGCGCACAACATCAGTTGTCCTGCTTATGTAAACACTGATGGGATATGTTTCTCCTGGTGATTCCTTTATGAAGCAATGCAATTCCTTAAATACATGTCATTCCTGAACTGGAATGTTGTGCACAAAGAAGCACGTTAAATTGGACATCAGTTTAAGCATCTGTCCTGACCTGACCCTGCCAGGCTCATCAGTACCTCCGAATGAGGACACTTGGTGCTGAAGGCGGGGGGGAGAACCTGCCTCCTGAAGCAGTCACACAATTATCTTTAACAGCTACGCTTCCTCTTTGCCATCAGCAAAGTGCAGATTGAACAGATTCACTTAAAGCCACCATCACACTGGCTGCGATAGACCAAGCAGCTCATGGTTATGCATGAGGTCTTAGGACAAAGAGGGAAATAAATGTGTGAATTCATGTTATTTACACGTTTTGGGCATATATGTCTAGATGTTCATTATCTCATTGGAATGTATGTATGATACCAACTATAATGCTAATTGGCCAGATTTTCTATCAAATAAATCGTTTTAAACCTTCAGGTCTGAAAGTGAAGACAAATCCTGCCTTAAACCTGTATTCTTTCTAATATCCAGCAGGGGGTCGACACCTGGGATTGCTAAAACAAGTCTGATTGAATAGAAGTCTGAGGAAAAGACCCTACTTCTCACTTGATTTATTACCTTAGTAGATATGTTCCTAGTGAGTTAGTGGTCTTCATTTTGACTTTAAGCCTTCTGAAATACAGCACGATGTTCAATTTATAAATATTGTTGCGATTTAAAGTAAAAATAGACAATATTGTTGGGTATGCCATCGGTGGGGGCCATCTTGGTTTGTTCTATACTTTGGTCTCAGATTTGTCTCCTTCACAGTTTGTTTTCAGCCTTAAGAGTTGAAAGATCTTAGATTCAGAGTTCTGTCGTGCTTTGATCCAACCTTGCATGTCACGGCTGGTACCGAATGATGCAAAAGTCAAGATGGTGACAACAAAAAATCTCAACAGTCCAAATAACAATAGGCCCTCCCTGTGACAAAATCCACTTCTTATAGTCGTTGGTATACCCTAAACTATTCCTTTTGTGCAACATATCTCCTCTTAAAGCAAGGGGCCTGAAATTACACTGCTATTCAATTAATACATTGCTATTACTGACAATGTTTTTTTTTATTGACTCAAGATGTAAATGATCCATTTCTGATTACAGAAAGGTCAGATGAATGTGTGTATCCACTATTGATAAAGAACCATAGAGATAGCAAAGTAACCATGGCACACACAGGTGACCTTAGAGCTCTATGTTTGCACCAGTTTCTCATCTGTCACCTGTCCCTAGTCAAAAACACCTCTGAGAGAAAATCTAATTTACTCTTGCAATTAACAGCCACAGCCACAGCCACACACACACACACAGCAACACAACACACACACACACACACACACACAAACACACAACACACACACACACACACACACACACACACACACACACACACACACACACACACACACACACACCCACACACACACACACACACACACACACACACACACACACCACACACACACACACA